TGGAGGGAGGAGTTCTCAGCCCGGAAGGTGGGGCCAAACGTGTACACCTGGAAGGCAGGGAGGTGCAAGGAGGAGGACGACAACTCGTTTTGAGATGTCTCGAAAAATATCACGTGACAGACAATTCGTTTTGAGAGATGTCGGAGAAGAATGCGGCGTCGTGGCGGGATGTGCTGTGCTGGAGTTCTCTGCCCAACACTTATGCCTTGACTGACACGAATAGGAAGTGGACGACTTTGGGGGGTTAGAGAGCGGGAGAGGGGTGAGGAAGGAAGGAGGGACGCGAAGGTTAAGGAGCATATTCTCACTCACATCGCGCAGAGCGCATGCGTAGATGTTGCAAGTTGTTTTTGAGAATCCTAGAAAACACCCGAGGAGGAGGCTAAGGAGCATATTGTCACTCACATCGTGCAGAGCGCACGCGTAGATCTCCGCATTCAGCTGCCCCGACACTGTGAGGTACGCCGGGCGCTTGAAGAAATCCTGTGGTGGGAAGGGAACACACAACACACGTACGGTTCAGTGCGGTACAGTAAGATGCAGAAATACGTCAAGATGCAGGGACGCCACAGTGAGGTAGAGTATGCATTGTCTACACTCTATTTACACTGTGTACTGTGCATTGTCTGTGACTGAACCTACAAGGAGGCACACCAGAGTCAGAGTCACAGAGTCACAGACACGTCGCGCAATGTAATATGTACGAGCCTGCACTTCACGCTCACCTAGGTCCCCTGACTGCAAGACATTTCGCGTTTCTGTGCCACATCATCACCTGTGCCACGTCATCCACCTATTTCACGTCATCCACCTATTTCACGCCATTCAACGATTTCACGTCATTCACCTATTTCACGCCATTCACCTATTTCACGTCATTCAACTATTTCACGTCATTCACCTGAGACCAGTCCACGGATCCGTCCTTATTGGTGGGGATGGCCTTCACTGGCGTGGACGCATCGGGGGTGCCTGGCAGCTGAGAGAGGAGGGAGTCGTATTGGAATGGAGTGGGATGGAATGGGATGGGATGGGATGGGGAAAGAAAGACGAGCACAGGGACAGAGGGAGTGAAGATCATGAAAGAACGGCGATGGCCCTGGCCTTTACCAGTCCGCGGACTACTTTTGAGGCGCCTCAAAAGTCAATGGCCTGGCCTTCACCAGTCCACGGACCCGTCCTTGTTGGTGGGGATGGCCTTCACTGGCGTGGATGCTTCGGGGGTGCCTGGCAGCTGAGGGAGACAGAAAGGAATGGGGAAAGCCAATAACGGGGATGGATGGGAGAGAGGGGGGTCATGAGACTCATGAGGGGATGGTGATGATGCGGAGAACAGGCTTCAGCAGTGGGTGGGTGCTAAAGCTGCACAGAGCAAAGAGAGGTATGGTTTGCGGGGACAGAGAGCAGGGTATTGCTGAAGGGTATGGGCTTACAAGGTATGGTTCACTTCACTTGGGGCGTAACTCCAAGTTAGAAGGACGCAGTTGAAGAATACAATGCCCGCTGAGCTGAATTAATATTCTCAGGTCAGGAATGAGCTCCTGAGTGTGAAGGAAACCAAACACACTCCTGCAAATCCCTGAGCTTCTCAGGGATGAGAGGTGATGCCATGCCACCCACACGAGCCAGCTGCATGGGTACACACACTCAGCTGTTGCAGGTTTCTTTTCCCACTGTGCGCTCACCGCATTGCACCGCACAGCACACCACGGCACACCACAGCACCGCACAGAACCCACCAGAGTGGTGACTCGGAACTGGTCGCCGGCCCCTTCACAGTCAGAGGCAGTGATGATGGGCGACGCCACCCACACAAAGCCGTGCGACTGGAAGAAGCGGTGCGACGCCTGTGCCAGAGCACTGCGCACCCGAGACACCTGGAATTGGGTGGGGTGGGGTGCGGTGCGGTGCGGTGCGGAGCGGTGCAGGGGAAGAGGTTGGAGAATAGTCAACGCAATTGCCACCCACACGAAGCCGTGCGACTGGAAGAAGCGATGGGAGGCTTGTGCCAGAGCACTGCAGTGTATGTACTCAAGAAACTTGGAATGGGGGTGGGTTTGTTTGGATGTGTTAGCAGGGAGCAGTGGGATATATTATGGCGTTGGTAAATGGTATAAGGTGCAATATAGTGCAAAGATACTCCATACCATGCCACTTGTTACTTCAAGGCGCTTCATATCTTCCCGTAACCTCACACCCCTAACATAATCAACTCACAGCGCCAATGGTGTTGGTGCGAGGTCTCAGGTGCGCTATGCTGCGAAGATACTCCAACGAATGACGCTTCTTCTCTTCAGGTGTCTCACAAACCTTCCCATATGTTCGCAACTTCGCACCCCTTGGCTAATCAACTCACAGCGCCAATGGTGTTGGTGCGGGGTCTCAGGTGCGCTATGGTACGAAGATACTCCAACGAATGCCGCTTCTTCTGCAGAGGGTACGTGCTGCCATCACTGCCACCCACCTGCAATTGAGAGAGGAGTGGGGGAAGCAAAAAAAAGGGCGAAAATTAACTGAGGAGAACTTAGCAGAAGAGTCCATTCATTACAGCAGAATTCGAATTCGACACCAGAGAATGGGTTTTTTGACAAGACGAGAAGAAAGACCTATGCAGAGAGGTTCGAATGAATGTTGGACGCTTCATGCACGGTGCTGTGAGGATGCAATGAGATACAATGCGGAAAGAGATGCATTGGATACAGAACCCCCACTGACCAAAAAGAGGCACTGAATGTGAAATCACCCTGAATAAGAGGCACTGCCACAGAATGTCTCTCTGTGGTTGCAATGCCTAACGTAGATGCGTAATTCACCCCGAAGCACCTACAAGAGTAAGCTTTTGCGCCTTAATCTCAATCTTCTGGCCCTTGCCCTGACTCTCCACCACCTCGCCCTCCACTGACACTGCTGCCCCTGTGGTGATGCCACCCCCCTCCACCTGGTGTGATGGACGCAGGGACGAGGACAAGGGAGGAGTCAAATGCTGAGGTGCCACAGGAAAATGTCGCCCCCCCAACTACCTGGTGTAATGACCGCTGGGACGAGAGCAAGAAAGAAGAAATCATGGAGCACTGAACCTTGGGGCACTGGTGACGCCGCTGCACTCTGGCTCACTGAGAGGAGCGATACCATGAGAATTGCCTTTACAGTTGGTCTCTGTCTACAATGCTCTCGCTCACGTACCTACTGTTGGCTCCTGTAAAGCTTATCTATTTCTGCCTCCTGGTGACTTCTGTTGTTACCTCCTGGTAGCCGTCTGTTGTTACCTCCTGGTAGCCTTCTGTTGTTACCTCCTGGTAGCCGTCTGTTGTTACCTCCTGATATCCTTCTGTTGTTACCTCCTGGTAGCCTTCGATCTCAGGCGTGGCCACCACCTGAATGCCTGAGAGGGACGAACCGTCATTGAGCTGGTTGGACGGCGCAGGTGGGGAGGCGGAGAGGGGAGAACAGTAGTGTGAGGGAACGGGCATTGGCAATCACAGGCATCGGCAAACGCAAGGTGCAGCAATGGCACTAGATGGGCTGGAGTAGCAATGCATGACATGACATCTTGTGATACGGCATGGCTCGCTACAGCAGATCAAACAGTGGCATTAATGTTGGGCATGACATAAAGAGACGTCATCTAACATGACGTCACATTACAACAGGATTGCCAATGCACTCACCTCAATGAAAGAAAAAGCCTTTTGAGAGCGTACTGTCCGCACCCAACCACGGAGCTCCACGTGGCGCCCAACCTGCATCCAATCAGGCAATAACGAAGAACCCTGACAGCATTCAGTGGGAACTGAATTTGCCATATAGAAATCATTTACACCTAGACACACAGACTGGGATGAACTCACCCACAACTGCATAGTAAACACGTTATCGTGTATACCACCGCATATCTTATAAGCCTCCCTCCAATCGTACCTGCTCCATCCCTTCGTCCGGTCCGTTCTTAATATCCGCGATTCTCAACCGCTTTTTGAATTCTTTCACCATCCGCCGCTCCTTGCGCCTCCCCGCGCCTGCATTTCCGCTCCCAGCAGCCACAGTCTCCGCTTTCTGCTCACTCGTCTGTTCCACGCCAGCTGCTGCTTCAGCTGACGAGGCGGCTGCCACGTCCGCAACTGCTGATTCGGCTCCAGCAGTCGCGCCGCCGTCGCCACTTGCGCTAGAAGCCAAGCAGCGTACATTGCAGCTCCGCCTATCAGCAGGAGCCACGTGTGCAAGAACCGTCGATGAGTGCTCCAAATATCTTCGCAGAACCCGCTGCTGGCCGTCGTAAAGCGTTCGCCCAGAACCGTCAAATTTGATTTTCGTGCAACCGGCGATGCTTCCAGGCGATGCGGGACTGCCGAGGCGGCGGATCGCCTGAGTGGGGATCATCGATTGGCGCAAACGCACGGCTGCTACCCTCAGCGCCGGCACGCATCGGCCAGCCGCCGTCCAGTTCATACTGGTTGACATGGAACGACGAAAGTCGTTCGCGGTCTCCGCACGAATTTGCGTATCAGGGCAGAGACGGAAGTCCGAACAGCGGCACTTGGTCGTACTCTTTTCAGAGCTTGCTCGTCTCCGCGAACGGCGACAGAGTTTCTGGGTTGAGAGATGGAGCCTAGCTCCTGCTTTTAGCTCTAGATGCTAGCGGTACAGCATCTGATCATCACAACTTCGTTCAGACTATAGGATGGTGTTCTGAGAAGTTAGAAGCTGACCAACAGCAAGGCGGGAAAATCAGTGCGGGCTTTTCAAAGTCAGCAACGGGCAACTCGCGGTTGAGGAATTTCCAAGGGAAAGGACCACCAGGTGCCACGTCACGAATTTATGCCTGGCTATTGAGCGAATGCAGAGTCATGTGGCATTGTCATTGAGAGAAATATAGCATTTATGTTCATGTTCAGCTGATCAGTTTGAGCATTTGCACATACAAGTAGCACTATTACGTATAAAAGGATGCCACGTTTGTAACGAAGTATTTATGTTATTGCAGAAAGCGATTTGCTTCCATCCTACTCTTCCTTGCGAGCCTCATCAACAACACGCAGGGTTTCCTGCGCAATGCACAGCTCCTCGTCAGTCGGCACAACCATCACCTTAATCTTCGCCCCCGCCACCGAAATCTCCCGCGCGCCCTTGCTCGCCTCCTCATTCCTCGCCTTATCCACCTCAATCCCAAACGCCTCCAACCCTGCACACACCCCCGCGCGCACCGGCGCCGATCTCTCCCCAATCCCCGCACTGAACACAATAGCATCCACTTTCCCTCCCAGCTGCACCAAATAATCCCCTAGATACTTCCTCACGCGATGAACAAACACCTCGAGAGCAAGCCGGTGCCGGCCGCCCCCTTCCAGGTCATCCCCTGCTGGTATGCATGCAGCTTCAGCGGCCTCAGTGCGGTCTACGACTGCTTTCATGTCCTTGTCTCCACAGATGCCCACCAGGCCAGACTCCTTGTTGAGGAGTGAGTCGATTTGAGCGGGGGAGAGGCCTTGGAGGTCTGAGAGGATCTTGGGGATGGCTGGATCGATGTCGCCGCACCGGGTGGCCATGACGAGGCCTTCCAGGGGTGTTACTCCCATGGTGGTGTCAATGCACTTCCCCTGCACTCACCAATGGAATTCAGCGAGAAGAAGCGGGTCACACCAGAATGGGAGAACAAGAATGAGATGAAAAACGAAACAGACCAAGCCACACAGAAAAAAACCATCTTCCAATGATTTCGTTAACCAACTGACCTCCTTGATGCAGGCCATGCTAGCACCGGCGCCCAGGTGCAGCGTGATCATGTTCATCTCACTCTCCTTCTTCCCCAGCTGCCTCGCCGTCTCCCGCAGCAGGTACATGTAGCTGGTGCCATGAAAGCCATAGCGCCGCACGCCGAGCTCCTTGTAGAGGCGGTAGGGCAGCGCGTATGTGTAGGCGTGCGGCGGGATGGTGCTGTGGAACGCCGTGTCAAACACCGCCACCTGTGGACAGTCCAACAGCTCCTGCGCCACCGCCATGCCCTGCCCATGGCAGTGCGGGGGAAGAGGGAGGGGTGGGGTGGGTAGATGACATAGGAATGAGCAATGGGGGGAAGAGCGATGGACGGAAGATATGCAGGCAGGTTAATAAGATACAGAGCATGGTGGTTGGACCCAACAATTCAGCAGATCAGAATGCAAACAATGCAGCAGCCCCATCAATCTCATAAACAAAGTAAGCGTCAGGAGGAGGTGCGGATAGAGCATGGAGGCCAAAATTCCAGCCATTTAGGAGGTCCTGCGCTCACGCCATGCCCTGTGTGGTGGTCAGAGGATTGGGAAGGCAGAAACGGAACCTTGGGGGGCGAGACATGGTCACGCCTGGACCAACCTGCAGTCGGATCTAGGGGATGGGCCTGATTCGTGCGAGTTTGAGGTCCTATAGGATGTGTTGTGTGTGCTTCCATAGTGAGTATGTGTGCTTCGAAGGGCTGGGGTGGCTTGCGTGACTAGGAGTCTGAGTGTGCTTTGCCTGTCCTTCACCATTGATCATATCTGGTCACGGCTGTTGGTGATTTGATTCTTGCATGCACTTCAGAATCGCTATGTCCAGCACAGTAGCATGAGGTTCTGAGGGTTCGGTTCAGTTCTGTGCGGGTCTCTGCGGTGTAGTGCGGTTCAAGGCCGTACCTGGAGGTTGGGAGGGTTGTGCAGCGGGGCGAGCGGCGTGAACTTCTTGAGCACGTCCTTCACGTGCTCCGTGATGATGCACGACTTGTTGATCTCCTCACCGCCGTGCACCGCTCTGTGCCCCACTGCCGTCACGGAACTGCTGCCCTTGCTGATCCCCATCAGCTTCAGCGCGTGCGACATGGCCTCCTTGTGGTCGCTGAACACCGCTTTCTGGAGCACGTCACACAGGAAGGGTTACAGTGAGGCATTGAGAGTTACAGTGAGTATTTATGGTTATATGTTAGAACACAGAGCCGGTAAACAAACACAGAGATGCACTTTATCGGAGTGAGCTGAATGAGTGAATAAACGAGAAAGGTGGCTGAAGAGAAATAAGGTGGTTGAAGAGTGCAGACGGGAGGCAGTGCGGTTTGATTTGATTGAGGGTGGTCCCGAATTCGCAACGAAAGCGATGAAGGTGACGGCTGACCTCATGGACGGTCTGGTTGGTGGTGAGGGCCTTGTGCGTGATGACGCCCTTGGGAGTGCCGATCTGCTCCACCAGACCCGACACCGCCAGCTTCGCCTTCAGCGCATCCGCGAATTCGTACAGCGCGTACCTTCAGTCATGCGCAGATGGAGGGACGAAGAAAATTGTTTCCGCTAAAAGGTCTTAAACCAAACGTGAAGGTGCATACTAGCTGCAATGCTCTTTCAAAGAAAAGGGTGAAATATACACCAGCAATCATCGCAATGCGGAAAAACGGATTTTCCCGAACGGCGCGGGGTTCCAGGGATCAGGAAGCATGTTACAGCAAGGCAAGAGACATACTTGAGAGACGAGCTCCCTGCGTTCAGCACGAGGATCGTCTTCGACTTCGCCATGCTCAGTCAGGCTTCACGAGAAAGCGACTGATTTGACGACGCTTGGCGAGCTAAAACAAAAACGCGACTGCAGATTTAGGAGGAACCGGTGGTAGCGGAGGACACTAGCAATTTCTGGGGATCAGCGGCTGACTTGGCCTGACTACATTTGACTCGGACAACAGAAACTGATGGGGAGATTTTCTGACTGATTGTTCTGTCAGGGCGGGTCAAACTTTGCACGTATTTGCAGAAAACCCTACCCAACCACTGCTCTGGATTAAGCCTAAACCTTTTCGAACCGCATTCTGACGTACTCTTTTGACCCGCCCTCAGTGTTGCGTTGTGTGATTCAGGAATGGTGTAACAAACCAGCACAGGCAAGCAGGGGAGGGAGGAGGAAATGCATGATGGTGGGTAGGAAGGAATTCGGAGAAGCTTCTCTGGCATGACGTGGCGTTGATTTTCCGATGTTGCGGGACCCGTGGCGGACGTGTGCCTTGATTCTCGGTGTCAGCCCCAAGAATCTTGCAAAACGAAGCAGCACAGCCCAATAGCCCGACTGTCCAATCAGAGGGCATCCCTGAATGCTTATTTGGCCAATCGTTAAAGTACTCGAAGTTCAAATTATGTAGTCTATTTTTCTATTTTCTGGGAGAAGAATACCCGAGCTGCTTGAAACGGATCAAGGTCTTCTTGAAACCTCATCCGACAGGCTCAAGGGAAGACAAGCCCCTTGAGAACTTCCAGCTAGCGCTCTACTAGGGGCGGTTCTCTTGGACCCTTTCCTGGTCTGGCAGAGACACGAAATAGCCTTGGCGAGCATCGTCTTGGCCTGCATCGTCTTAATTCCCCTCAATCGTCAACTCGTGGCCTTCGAACTTTCCACGCATCGCTAGCAGACTGTAACGCAGCAGACTCGGTTGTTACACAGACACATCGCAGTCCCGGGAGCCATGCTCCGATTGCTAGGGAAGCGGCTGGTGCAGCAAGCTAGCAAAGCGCGCAACGGCCAAACCCGCAGCTTAAACTCCTCGTCAGGGAACGCCGCGCGAGGCCGATGGAGCGATATCTGCCGAAAATACCAATCGCAAGCGCAGGTGTTCCCCGAGACGGTCCCATCGGTCGGACCGTCGGAAGCACGCGGCCTGCACCGATCTCTTGACGGAATTAGCGCAGGTCCTCGGATCGTTTCAGCTGCTCAAACGCGAGGCTTGAGCAGTTTCGCGAGCGGAGTGGGTAGAGAAGAGAGAGCGGGTGACGGAGCGAAGGGACCAGGTTTGTGGGATCAGAGGAGCCGATCGATTAGTAGTTCGAGCGGAAACAGCGCGCCTGGCAATGTGGGTGCGTCGCACTCCAAGAAACCGCATCAATTTGAAGGCTCTATTTATCTCCACCACTCCGAGTACGTTCGAGAGACCTCCCCTTTTATAGAGAATTAGATGGCTTTACTGAAAATCGTCGTTTTTGTCTCATTGGAGCACCGTCGATTCCGTTTCAATCAAACGCCGTTAATTTCTGCTACCGTCAGCTAGTAGCGTACTGGCTTCGTGTGCGCACATAATTATTGGTCAGGTATAACTCTGTTGGAGCTCTGTCTCAAAGAACACTACTGTCGGACAATGTACTTCCGCCGCGCTCTGATTTGTGAATGCGTCTCTGTCATTCTTCACACCCCCCCCCCCCTTTTCTCGCTTCTCCGCCGCGCCATATCCTTGTCTGCAGCGTGGGTGCTCCTCTGAACTCCGCCGCTCTCAGCATCGGACTCATTCACGCGCTGCAGGTAAGTGAAAGCCATTGTCTGGGTTATGCATCAAGTGAACTAACCATGATATGAACTATGATCCCGAGTATCGATGGCGAGAGTCACCATGGCCCTTAACGTTGATGGGTGAGCGCTATCCATAGTCCTAATTATGCATTGACTGAAGTAAACACGGACTCCCTGTCTGATGATGATGAATGGATGGCCTGGCACCCTGACCCGATCCCCCAGGTTCTGCGGCCAGGCGTGGGTTACTTTCGCCCAATCGACCAGACTTCGCATGGTGGTAACCGCGCGGAACTGTTCCACGAGGTGTTTCGCATGCGCACGCCTCAGGAGGACATGTTCGGGCTCACCCAGGACCAGGCGTACGCTCTGCTGACGTCCGAGAAGACGGACGAACTCCTTGAAACCATCATCTCAGGTAAAAGCTCTTTGAAACCGCAATTTCAGGTCAAAAGTCTTGAAACCATCACGCTGTGTCAAAACTTGTCGAGACCAGATTTTCAGCTCAAACTCCTCCCTGACCTAGCGCCTTGTTCAAATCAGCAGCTGTCTGCCTGCAACCCTCGTTTCATCCTCCACCTCCCATCCACCAGCATCCTCCACCCGTACTCCACTCCTCCACTGGTATCATGACTTTGTGGTGATAGAGGCCGCGTGACCACTCCCATGCGATTGGTACAACTACTTCCTATACCCCCCTCTTCCCATACCCCCTTCCCCCCTGCCCCGGCCTGCGCCTACCAGCATATGAGCGGTGCCAGCGACACCATGGCTTTGTGGTGATAGATGGCACGTCCATGCAATTGGTACAGACTGTCTGTATAGTGGTTTCCTGTAACCCCCTCTTTCCCCCACCTCCCTGCGCGCCTGCATCCATCAGCGTACGAGCGGTGCAAGCGGCACCACGACTTTGTGGTGATAGAGGGCACGTCCATGCGTGACGGCACCAATACCTCGCCTCTCAACGGCCTCATCGCCTCTGCCCTAGAAGCACCTGCCCTGCTGCTCTCTGATGGCCGTGCCGCCTCACAGTTCCACCCCAAGCACACCGAGGTACGCACATCCCAGCCAGGTTGTAGCTGTTTCTGGAAATTCTCCAAGCCGACCTCCCGTATAGAATACATCCCAGTGTCATCGGCTCTGCACTCGAGGCCCCTCTGCCCCTCTGCTGCTGCTCCTAGAAGGCCATGCTGCCTCGCAGTTCCACCCCAAGCACAGCGAGGTATGCCTCTTCCATGCCTCCTCTCCTCCTGTGTTTTCCTGAGCAGACAGTCAGATAGCATGTTTCACTCTGAGTCAATTCAAAAGTTAAACTCCACACGCCTGCCCTTCCTGTGAATCTTCCTCGCCTTGTGCTGTCAGGCGGTGGGTTTGAGGACTGGAACTGGGAGAGGCGTTTGGAAACTCTTAGATACCTCCCCCCCGTGCTCCTTTTGCACCAATGCCTCACTCATTTCCACGCGTCCCCTATATGTCTGTCTCCCCATGCCCCTGCTGCAGTCAGGAGGCGTGTTTGAGGACTGGGACTGGGAGAAGGAGGCGGCGGGGTGCATCCTGGACCATGCGCGTATCATGAGGCAGTCGCGTGTCGACGTGGCGGGCGCACTCATCTACCGCATGCCCAAGACATCTCGGGGGGCGGCAAGGCTGAGAGAATACATCACCCGCGCACACATCCCTTTTGTGGGGGCCATTCCCGAGGATGTCTCGCTCGAGTCCTTCCAGGTGCGTCACGGGGTTAAGAGAGGGTTTAGGGAGAGGGAAGGAGAGAGAGTCGGGAGGGGACGGGTGATACTCTATGCACCATGCGAAGCGGCTGTATGGGATGGGGCACAGGGCAGTGAGCACAGTGGACACTGGCTCGTGGGCAGTGGGCAGTGGGCAGGGCAGGGGCGTTGCGGGGAGTGCAGCGAGTGAGGTGTGGGCGTGCGTGGCAGGTGCGCTCATCTGCCGCATGCCCAAGACGTCCCGAGGCGCTGCGCAGCTGAGGGAACACATCCCCTTCGTGGGGGCCATTCCCGAGGATGTCTCGCTCGAGTCCTTCCAGGTGCTTGGATGGGAGGCGGAGTAAGGGGGACGGAAGGAGACGAGGGATGGGAAAGTTGATAGGTGGCATGGATGAGAAAACGCTGTATGCGGTTGAGCACCCACCCGCCCACACCTGCCCCTGATCCTCACACCCCTTTTCCTTCTCCCCTGCAGGTGGAGGACGTGGCACGAGTGTTGAACGCGCATGTGCTGTACGGCGACGTGCCTCACAGCAACAACATGACCACCGAGGTCACGCGCACGCTCGTGGCCACGCTCCATCTCGCAGACCTGCTCTCCTACATCCCGCCCTCCGATGATCCCGGCAAGGGCGTGCTTGTTGTGGCGCATGCCAGCCGCCCAGATATCCTGCTGGGGATGATCGACCTGCATGAGACACACCTCAGTACCCAGGTGCGTGTGTGCGTGTTCATTGCGGTAGGGCTCGGGCAGGTAGATGGGCAGCAGTGCATGTGGGAGAGGGGTCGGTACTAGAAGGTAGGCAGCAGTGAGTGTGCACGCTCGTGGCCACTCTCCCTCTGGCGGACCTGTTCTCTTACATCCCGCCCATCATGTGTTCAGCAGGGAAGTATGTGAGGTGGTTAGGGTGTGTGCAAGTAGGCAGGCAAGTGTTCACCATCTCACCATCCCACCATTCCACCATCCCACCATCCCACCATCCCACCATCCCACCATCCCACCATCCCACCATCCCACCATCCCACCATCCCACCATCCCACCATCCCACCATCCCACCATCCCACCATCCCACCATCCCACCATCCCACCACCCCTCGCATGTCCCTCAGGTGGCAGCCATGGTACTAACTGGTGGCTCGCCTCCCCCTCTTGAAGTCGACATGCTCATTCGGGTAAGCATGCTGGGACTCGGGTGGAGCCCGAATGCTCGTGTGGGAGGTGGGGGTGGAGGTAGCACGGGGAGAGGTGGGAGAAGGATAGGGGAAGGAAAAAGGCGGTGAGGCAAGAGAAGAAGGAAGCGGGGAGGGAGTAGGGTAGGGAGGGAGCAGGGAGGGAACAGGGAGGGAGTAGGGTAGGGAGGGAGCAGGGAGGGAACAGGGAGGGAGTAGGGTAGGGAGGGAGAAGGGAGGGAACAGGGAGGGAGTAGGGTAGGGAGGGAGCAGGGAGGGAACAGGGAGGGAGTAGGGTAGGGAGGGAGCAGGGAGGGAACAGGGAGGGAGTAGGGTAGGGAGGGAGCAGAGA